GGTGAAGCGAATTTTGATATGTTGCTTAGTATAAACAACTATACAATATATATAACCACACTGTGCAATTATATGCAAGTTAATAAATGGTTATTTATAGTAGTAGTATTTGTATATATAATAATAATGCATTCAAATTAATTACCTATTAATAAAAAAATTTAGTAATTATAATATTTGTACTATTACAGGTCAAATTGGTTTTTAGGTCAAGTTAAATTTGACCCAGGTCAAATTGATCTCTAGCAGAATTTTAGGATTAGGGTGGCAGAATTATGTTGATGCTAGCTGAGTTTTTTAATTGATCAGTTTGATCTGAGTAAAGTTTAACTCAGCCTAAAAATCAATTTGACCCATAATATATATACACATATTCATTTTGATTAGTTGGTTCGTGGTCACGTGATATAGATCATAGCACTAATTTTTGGTTATACAAAAAGGGTAGTGATAATCACCACTGGTTATAGTTAGAAATATTCTAAAAATTAATATAATTCTAATAAAATATATTTTGCTTATTAAAAATTTGATTAAAAGAAATATTAATTAAAAAAACTAAACAGAGATTGTTTAGATTTTTAAAATAAAAATATATTTTGCTTATTAAAAATTTAATTAAAACAAATATTAATTAAAAAAACTAAACAGAGATTGTTTAGATTTTTAAAATATTAAAATTAAAAATATTGCTATTTATATCATCATTTTTGTTATTTATACTATATTAATTACTAAAAGTAAAAAAAAAAGAATACTTAGCCCAAGTCCAATTTGACGTACCAACAGCGCAGTGAATCATACTAGCACTATGAACGAATGTATTTTAGTAACCTATTTTGAATGATACTTGTTATTTGAAAAGAAGCTAAAAAGATAAACTAATTAGTACTACAAAACCACAATACTGAAACAAGAAAAAAAATTAGAAAATGAATACTTAGCTCCAATACAACTAAGTGTTCTGGTAAAAATCCAACAACAGCAACAACTTCAAGACAAATGATGGCTCAGAATAATGACTTCAAGACAAATAACGGCTTATAATAGTGACTCCAAGACAAATGACAATTCAAAATGACTACTCTATGACAAATAGCGACCCCAGGTGAATAATGACTTCAAGATAAATGACGGCTCCAGTAACAAACAACGACTCAAGACAAATAGTAACTTCAGGAACTAACGATAACTCCAGGCAAATGATGAGTTTAAAAACAAACGATTGCTCCAAGAACAAATGATGACTCCAGGAACGATGATTTCAAAAAGTTCTAAAAGAAAATAAAAATTAAATCACAATCAGATCAAAAATTTTTATTTATTTAATTTAACATTATACGTGATCTTATCGTAAAATGTAGTGATCATCACCATAGGTGATTTTAATTATAATTCTAATTTTTAATAGTATCATATAATTATTAGTTACTGTATTTATGTGAAATAATACATATCTGCATATTATTTCGAGAAGATATACATTATTTCGAGTATACACATGAGCATTATTTCAAGGTAAAGGATACATCCCAATTACTGATTGTAAATATTAAGGTGATTTATCAATATCACTATATGGGTATACATTATTTCAAGATGCTCATGGGCATTATTTTAAAACCAACTATGCGATTTTCAATATAATGCCTATGTGCATTATTTCACATAAATATGATAACTATTTTTAGCTTTATAAATCGTTATTAATTATATAAACTTTGTAAATAACTTTTACTTTATTTTAACTTTATTATCAATATATAACTACTAACTATTTAAACAATTTATATATACAATTATTGTTAATAAAATATTATAATTTAATTTAAAAAATTACTATTTGTACTCAGTAGGTATAATATCTAGTAAAATCAAAAATTTTTAATATTCAAAATTTTGCTAAAGCAACTATATATAGATATCTTAAGTAAAATTTTTAAGCATCTAAGTTTGCATATAATTATATATATTTCTAAATCTAACTCTATTTTTAATATATATAGAACTCTATATAAATATTATATCAGATATTATATCCTATAGGTAAAGATAGTAAATTTTTTTAATTTATTTATATTATTAATATAATACAAATTATTTATTTTTTTAAAAAACTACTTGTTTAGTAAATTTTTTATAGCAGTATAAACTTCAACTTCAACGATATATATTTGATAATAATAACTTCTATCTTATATAAAACAATATACCAAATAAATATAAAACTTGTTATTTTATTTAATATTTGCAAAATATAGCCAATACTATTTAGTAGCACTTATATAACAATATACAAATTAAAATATTATATATAAATTTTTTAACTTTAATAATAAACTATGTACTTATTTTACATATTTCAAGTAATTACAAATAAAAAACTTCAAAATTAAGTTTTAGTTAAATAAACTATCTAGCTTGCTTAATCTAAACTACAAACATCTAAACAAGTACACCAACCCAATTTGTAATCAATATATAGTGGCTATTGAGAATAATATCTACTAGCTAATTTGCTCTATAAACTAAACACAGCTCTAAGTACGCATCCAGACAAATGAACGATTACAAATAATTCTGTAATTGGCAGCTTTGCATCTAGTAACTATATAATATTTAGTACACTGATGATGAAGTTTCACAAGTTTTTGAGAAAAATTTTCATGATCTTACTTGGTGAACTAAATTAAACCCATTTTTGATATTTCTAACAATTTTATCAAGCAGAATATATTCATAAAGACTTTTAAAGTGATGTATTGCTATCATAGCCGCAGAACCTAATCATCAAATATGAGGGCTATTCACTGCATGCAGAAGCCAAGAAGTTTACTGAACAAATACGTACGTACCAATAACCTTGTTCAATCGGTGATAGCATTTACACAAACCAAATCAGAACTGGTAGGAGAAATTATGGATCCTTTGTCAGGATACATGATTGCACAATGTATGCATGCTACATTATGGCGTATTATGTAATACAGGGCCAAAAAAAATGTGCATCGCACATCTCTATACGGACTACGTGATTATAGAGGCAGGCGACTGTATTACATTTGGACCTTCGGTTTTGCTTGATGATATTCACATATTTTCTCTTGATCAACATCTTAAACACAAATATATTAGATCTTATGTGATGAAAATTAAAATTATTTAAACGATGTATTTAACACTTTTCACATGGCATATTATATTTAGATGACAAAGCCTCACAAAATGTGCAATTTTTAGTCGTGCATGCATAAACCCGGGTACCGGGTACGTATTACCTAATCATATGATACATGTAAAAAAAGAATATCCAATCAAGAGCATGGATTTTCACGGAAACATTTAACTTGCTATTAAACCATACATTACGTACTTTATACTCCGTTCTAGTAAATATACTGTATTAAAAACAAAAAACAAAGAACAATTGCAAATTATTGTTTATTTATTTGTAACTATTTGAACGGATTTATTCATAAAGGCACTCTTCATTCCTTCCTAAATAAGAAACAATAAAGCCGTGTAATGTAATGAGATATGGCATGTTTACGCACAATCAGTGCGTTACATACGACAAGTTTCAGAATATGTAGTATACAATTAGTGAGTCGAAATGTGGCTCCTTATCAATAAAAAAATCGGAAATAGTAGTCACAATTCCATGGTGCAAAAAAGGATCACATGATTTTGCAATAATATCAAACGGTAAAATTTGTTGAAATGTGAGAACAAGTTGTAATATAAACAAATTAGTATTAATATTATTATTATTAATAAACTTATTACCTGTAAAACTCTTTTTCCAAAATCGAAACACACATTCATTTAGGCTTAATATGTCTGAATCACAGATTATTGAAAATATTCAAGTGTCTTCTAAAGACATTTATGTGATAGAAGACAAAAATGATGAAGCATTTAACTTAGCTAATGGAATTACCACTACTTTAAATGCAGCTATTAATTCTCTTACTTCAGTTGTACCATGGTTAGCTACAGCAGCAGAACTCATTAACGAAATCATAAAAATTTATGAGACAGCCCAATATAACAAAAAAAATTGTGCAGCTTTGATGGACCGTGTGATTTCAGCCGAAGCAGCTGTAAAAATTTTACAAAGAAGAAAGAAAGAATTTGAAGAAAATTTTCGGAAAATAGAATATCAAAAAGCATTATTAGACTTATAAATTCATTAGAAAAAATTAAAGAATTCATAAATGATGTAACTCAATTAAAAGGACTGGGTAAATATGTAATTGCAACCAATATTGAAAAAAGGTTTAAACAATTAACGGAAGAATATGAGGCCTGCATGAAAGATTTAAGTTTTACATTGATCATTACCTTTGATGAACAACGAAGAATCGATCGAGATAGTTTGACGTCTGATTTAAGTGAAATGACAAAGGTATGGCATCTTAACGTTTTGAAATTAATTACAGTACATAAATAATTTAAATAATATTTTATTACAATATATTTTTTAGGCCGGACCAACTTAAT